AAGTATATGACAGATAAAGCGTGTAAAAAACACAGAAAAGTGAGGAAAATACACTTACTCAGCACATTCACTGCGTAAAAAACATGTCACTTGAACGCTCCGCGCACATTAATGCATAGTTTCTTTCAAGTGATTTGTGTGGTCCTCTCGTCTTCTTCTTCTCGTCTTTCTGAAAGCTTTTGCCATAACCTACTGCGAAAGGTCTGAACTGCCAATATCAACAAAGCTCCGGAGGGTTGTTCGTCCTGTGCGCTCCCAGTGCGCGCTTCCAACTCCGCCCCCTCGCAGCTTTCACGCGCCAATAGGGCAATCCAGAGGGAGCAATTATAATAAGATGAGGAGTGTTTGGTAATTTATCATTTTGAACCGCAAGTGTTATTAAGTTTTGATTTGTTTTATCCGATTAAAAGAATATCTTCAAAACTCAACTGTGGGAATGACTCAAAATTTTTGAAAAACAATTCATAAGCTGCCTTTTATGACACTTTGTATTAATTTGGTGATCAGGTTCTTCAGCTGGTTCACTTTAAGCTTGCTGACGAACAGAATGTCCACACTTTCAACTGGCCCCCCGCTGATCAAAAGAACTCCTTCTCGGTTTCCTCTGAAATTAGATAAAAACGATGAGTCCTTTTATTACTTGGCCAAGCCTGTCCTCATTTGTGGAAAGCGATATGCTGCCCAAAGGTGGAGGATGCGCACCCGCGCCTGGCCTACAGGGGGGGCTGCTGCTCGTGAAACAGGACACCATTATCAGCCAAGGCCACACTGGGGCCCGCCGGCCCCACAAGAGAACATACAAGGTTTTATCCACAAACACACGCATAATTCTCAGTTCTCTGGAGCTGTATCATCCCTCTACAGGCGGGAACACACAGCACATGATGTCAGTATGCAGTCCTTTAATACAGCTGCAGCAAGGAGATCATAACATCATCATTGCTGCAGTTTCAGTCTGTACGTCTGCACACTGCAAAGCTTTTGAAGTCCTCACTTGTGTTTTTCACACAACAAAACGTCGATGCACGTGAAAGAAAGGAAATAGCCAGAAAATGTAACAAATGTCTCATTTATTTCCTACAGGATATGAAAAAGAAGTTGAATATAGACAGAGATAAAGATAACAGGAGCATCACAGTAGCTACTGCACAATAATAGGATACAGCAATCTGTACATGAAGTCCACTATTATTACACGCAGCTGAGTCAAGCCAAGACTGGCTCGAGCGTCTGTTGTGTTCCTCTTCTGGAAGCATTTACTCTCAAAATAAAAAGTCCCTCTGGTGTTGCTTTCTGGAATTTCTTGGTATGTCTGGTTGGAACAGAGGAATAACAGCCGAGCAAAGATCCACAGCTATTTTTACAGAGTAAATTTGTTAACAGAGAAAAATGGGAATAAAAGTAGATGCATTTACAATAATAAAGATGGAGTAAAGTTAAAGCGGGCAGGGAAAGACGTTCCCCTAAAGTACTCAGACATGACAGTATTTAGTGCCCTGATATTCATTGCATGTTTAAATGGCAACAAATGCTACCTATGACGACTTTACAAGTAGCATGATCTAAAATGTGCCCCCCCCCAACACTTAGAAATGATATTGGTTCTCTTCCAGTAAGAGAAGGCTTTGAATCAAAAGGCAACAACAATTAGAGGACCAGCATCCACTAGACTCGGTATTGAGGTGCACCTTATGTAGCCTTAAATGGCTAAATCTTAATAAAAATTTGTCTGTAAAGTACAGTATGAGGGCTCCCAGACAGAGGGTGTGTGATTCCAGCACAGTTTTAGAAGAACTTGACGCCTTTTCC